TTCCATATTATTTCTCCACATTGTAATTTTCCATGTTAAGTTTTTTAGTTTTTTTATCGCTTCAATATCTTAATAGGCTTATCGCTATCGCTTACTATCAGCATTAGTAAGAATTGTTTTTATATATGCTTTCAACTTTATAAATTTCACTTGGAATCTAACTTTATTTTGTATAATATTCATCTAAGTTACTTCAGTTAATTTAATTAGGGTTACTAACTTTATTAATTTTAAGCAGCTTTGCAAGTTCTATAATTTTTTTACAACTTTTGCACAATAATTAATTATTATAATTCTTTCATTTTTTTGTAATCATTTTATAATTACTTTGAAGTTACAATAATTTTTAATTTTCATTAAAATTAGTAAACCAAATCTGACCGAATTTAATTTGACCCTCTTCCAGTGCACAGTGTTAAAAGAAAAAAAAAAAAAAAAACATCAGACTTTCAGTAACTTAAGTCGGCGTGACACGGCATAGGTAAGTTACTTGGCGCCCAAAATATTATAAATAGGTATATATGTGAACCCATCACCCTGCTCACCAACACCTAACTGAGCTGCCAGTGTTACTACAATCTAAGAACATTTCCATTTCTTCGGGCGTGAACACCTTGGATTTCTTTGGTCTGTGCCCTACAGACTGTTGTTTTAGGAAAGCCGATACTTGATGAAATCTATAACAATGAATAGCTTAAAACCTCATAAATAATAATCATTGCGATGTCACAAACCTGCTTATATCAATATTTTCTTTCACAGATAACATTTTCTTGAGTTGGGAATAATACTACCATCCTGACGAAGATTTTGCATTTTTAGACCATTCCGAAATATAAGGCAAAATTATTTTTTCGTCTGCTCCTTTCGCATGATTTCGCTTCCTCCATTCACAAAAATTCGTATATTCTTTTTCATACGAATGCTTGTATTTTGCTGGCATCACTTAATTGAAAGCTTCCAAATTTTCGTCCAGGACTTCTGAGGGTACAAAACTTTGTTTTCATCTTTATCTTCTAAAATTCTAGACATTATCATGATTATTTTTCTCAAAATTATTATATCATATCACAAAAAATGCTCTTTCTTCTGACTAAAACATTTTCCAAAGCTAGTCCATTAGTCTTTTCTAAACTTTTCAAAACATATGTGCGACCTTTGCTAGAGTTTGCTAATGGTGTCTGGTCTCCCATACTTCAAAAAGACATTTTGTGCTTGGAATCTATTCGGCGTCGAGCAACCAGATTTCCGTTCGGCATAAATCGGCCTCCTTACTGCGAACGGCTTAGACTAATGCATCTCTGCCCTCTTTCAGACAGGCGCAAACGAGGTGATCTAATCATTACTTATCAGTCCTTGAGTAATAGTTTTTCCCCAATGAGGCATCTCTTCCCTGTCAATACCTCAGACCGCACCAGAGGGCATCCTCTAAAGTTGCGTAAGTTGAAGTTTTGCACTTTAGCTCGCCAAAAATTTTTAACGAATAGAGTGTTTGACAGTTGGAACGCGTTACCCAAGGATATAGTGCTAGCTTCATCTGTTGTAAGTTTTAAATCGAAATATGATACATATTGTGCGACAAAAAATCTCTAAGTTATACTGAAGATAAAGCCACTACTCAATTTGTCGCTGGCATAACAGGCATAGCCTCTGCCCGATCGAGTCCTTATTAATAATAATAATAATAATAATAAAGAAAGATTTTTTTGCTAGAAATTTAAAAACGCTGGTATAGCAAAAGTTACATTGTTAGAATCAGTAGAATTGGTTATATTATATTTGAATAGTTTTCGTGTTAAAAAATCAAAAAATTTAATTTTAAAGTTACGAAAATTCATCTGAAATCGGTAGGTTTTTGGATAATTTATTGTTGATTTACGGTCCTTTGCAGAACATGCGTGTACTCACGTCGAAGGCGGTCAATTTATCGGACCAGAATTCCTTATCGGACAAGTCTACGATGGAAATGAACACCACATTAGGGAGCCTATTGTACTGTACAAACCTTTATATGTAACAGTAGATAAGTCTGAAACAAACTGAGTAAGGCAATAAGTATTCTATTCATAAAGGCAGGGTATATAATATCACTTATTTGGTTTAATATCACCTCAAGACTAATGACAGGAATATTCGTAGTCAATTTGTATTCATTTTTGTACCCTGAGAACAAAAAAAAAAAAACTAGTGTGTAACACGAATTGACCTCAATATTATCTTCCAACTGTGTCAAAAAGCACCAATGTATAAGATTTAAGAACATAGAACACGACCTCTATTTAAATGTTGCCAAAGTGTTTTAGATGTACTTCCCTGTGTTCGTTGATTTGCTCATTTAGGCGTTTTTGAAGATTTTGATGTTGGATTTTTTCTTAATGTATTTATTCTAGAAAAAGTTACTGTTATAAGGTGTAGTCTAGAAGAAATGATTTATATTTATATTTATATATTATTGTTGTTTGTTGTACTATTTTGAAGATGATACTGTTACGAAATACACCGTTACGCCGCCCCAGTACGACGCCTATGGCCGTCGAGAGCTTTCTGGACGTACGCACGGCGCTGATGGGTGAATCATCACTGCTGACGGTGTCGACGGCCGAGAGGCGGGCACATAAAGACAGATCTGGAGCCGTCTCGAAGCAGCGTCCAGGGGAGTCGCGAAGCGGAGTCGCGATGGATGTTCATGAAGGATCTCGATCAGAGAATATGAGTTTAAATAGAGGCGACCGTAGGTAATGGATTCATTCAGTCAGTGAAGACAGTCAAGAGTGCCGGAATAATTTCTGTACATATTCGTTGCAATAGATAGTGTTGTAATTCGAGCTAAAGAAATAAATCTTTGAGTTTTACCAACGCCCGATTTATTATACGCCCGTCAATCGTAACAATACTTAATAAATGTTTACGAATTCTAATATAACAGCAATTTTGGAACCGAACCATAATGCATTAAAGGTTTAAAGTTCTTATCGACGCAATCTACTCTTCTAAGTGACAAGACTAGCTGCTATGTCGGGAGCTTTCTCTTTCTCGTCTGATTATTCATTTAATACTTACTAATTTTTTAAGCACACTGTCGAAAACATGGATACTAAGTGTGCACGCAGTATTTGTTCTCTTAAAGTTATAATAAATTTAAACTAAAAATTAAACTACATGAATTTTTACAAATACGGTTCTTTTGTCTTCATTACATCCGTAACGCTTATAAAACAGCATCTTTTGCCTGTAAATGATTAATATTAGCAAAAATTGTTCTTTAATTAAAATACATTGGAAAAGAAGAATTGGGCGGTACATACCTACTATATTATTAAGAAAGGTATAACTTTAAATATCCCAAATATAAATGTCCACTTACCACGTCCAATTTAAAAGAATGGTCGCTGTTTTGTGGATTCCTTGGAGAATCGTGTCACTGGTGTAATAATGGCCCACATCAATACGAATTACATTTATTATCACAGTTTAGTTGCTATATCTTAATGTAACAAATACATGGTTTTATTACAAAACACTCTGTATGGTCACAGGGCGTGACAGTACATTTTACGCTACACATTAACTATTTCCCATAAAATATCGGGTATCTAAATGAAAATTTGGTCAGGACTGTCATGTTAGCAGCTGTCATTCGTTGTCACACCGACTTTTGTGAATTAATAATTTTTTAATTGACTCTGACAGCGAAATGACAACTGTCTCCAACACAATGACAAACACTATACGACATACGGAAAAAACAATAAAGTGGGAAGCAGCCCACTAACCAGGGTTCAATCAGACACCCGATAATTTTAATGTATATAATACATAAATAAATAAACTTAGCCGTGTTAACATGGATGGACTCCAATTATACTAAAATATATAACATTTATGACAGATATCACAGACTATTTCCAGAGAGTTAAAAATTTAAGAATTCTTCAAACCAATCGGTATATATATCAACTTAAAGAAAACGGTGAAAATTTCAATCTTTGAGAAATTTTGTACGTTTATATTTAAAATATTAATTTGTTATTATTATTTAACGGTCTAAAAATAATTAGATCCTACATAACTATGTCCCAAAACACTGAAATATCAGGTCATTCCTCTATAAATTTTTGAATTGGATTTGAACGTTAATGATTTCTATATCTATATGTATTTTCTGCATATTCACACCTAATAAATTAATGACAAATTTAATCTTGATCTATATGTTCATTTTACTTGATTGGTTAAGGTTCTTTATTACGATGCACTATAATAACCGTGTTACATCTTAAAAACAATAAATTCAATGGCTTAAAATTTAATATTTTTGCCTTAGCAAGTAAACTAATCTTCTAAGCTGTGTTTTATGATCTCCAAAATGTCCTTTCAAAGGAATCGCGTCATTTTATATCTATGATAATGGCAGCTTGGCAAATTTTTCGCATATAATAACATCGTTACCTTTAATAGATTTTGATTTATTTATAAGTAATTTGGTCCTAATACATTGTAATTATGTCACAGAAACTGAAATATTTCGGAGCTGTCTCTTTCGATCATCGGACATAAAAAGGAGAAAATTTTGTAACTCGTGTTATAGCCAAAAAGTTTTATTGCTTATTTGCGTGTGCATGGAAGTGAAACTAGTAAGGAGAAAGCACTTCATCGTTAGGTTGCGTCGTATTTAAATGAAAACGATTACTAAGTATAAAATAGTAGTAACTGGCTGCATGGACATGTCAAATGAAATAGAATCACGCATATGCATACATATACCTATGTAACAAAAGTACTACACGATATCCATCAAAAAATTTTATCAGAACTCCTTTATCGGTAATTGTTTCGAGAATTTTAGATTTCATGTTTTTTTAACAAAAAATTTCTCATGTTACTGTCAAAGTCGGTTTTTCTGCGCGTAGTCGATCGGCAGTTTGCCACTGTGATCCAGAATATTCACTATCGCACCATTCGATACTAATAATTATTCTAATGTTCTTAAAGTTCCATGTTCACAGCCGTCCATGTCCATCCGGAACATTCACTTTCGCACCTTTTTCTAGCAAAAATAAAATTATATCATTTCCCGCGTCGTAATTTCTACACGCATGATGCATCGGTAGCTGACCACCTCTGTCCCGAACATCAAATTTCGCTCCGTTCATTACCAGTAATTTTACCATGTTTAATGTTCCCTGTTTACAAGCATAATGTATCGGCAGTTGTCCATCTCCATCCGGAACATCCACTTTCGCACCTTTTTTACACAAAAATAAAATTATATCACTTCCCCACACAACATTTCTGCACGCATAGTGCATCGGTAGCTGACCACCTCTGTCCGGAACATCAAATATCGCTCCGTTCGTTGCCAATAATTCTACCATGTTTAAATCTCTACGTTGACAAGCGTAATGTATCGACAATTGTCCATCTCCATCCGGAACATCCACTTTCGCACCTTTTTTACACAAAAATAACATTATATTGTATCCCCACCAATTATTTCTGCACGCATAGTGCATCGGTAGCTGACCACCTCTGTCCCGAACATCAAATTTCGATCCGTTCGTTACCAGTAATTCGACTAGGTTTAATGTTCCGTGTTTACAAGCATAATGTATCGGCAGTTGTCCATCTCCATCCGGAACATCCACTTTCGCACCTTTTTTACACAAAAATAAAATTATACCACATCCCCACCGATCATTTCTGTACGCATAGTGCATCGGTAGCTGCCCACCTCTGTCCGGAACATCAAATTTCGATCCGTTCGTTACCAGTAATTCTACCAGGTTTAGTCTTCCGTGTTTACAAGCATAATGTATCGGCAGCCGTCCATCTCCATCCGAAACATTCACTTTCGCATCTTTTTTACACAAAAATAAAATTAGATCACGTCCCCACCGCCCGTTTCTGCACGCATAGTGCATCGGTAGCTGACCACCTCTGTCCGGAACATCAAATTTCGCTCCGTTCGTGACCAGTAATTCTACCAGGTTTAATGTTCCGTGTTTACAAGCATAATGTATCGGCAGTCGTCCATCTCCATCCGGAATGTCAACTTTTGCACCATTCGTTAAAAGTATTTCTGTCACACCTAAATCTCCATCCTCACAAGCGTAATGAAGCGGCAACCGACCGTCTTTATCCAAAACGTATGTTTGCGCTATGTGTTTTAAACAATCTGAGTGCCCCTTTTCAAGTTCAAGATGTATAGGAAGTTTTCCGTTCCTACTCCGAATATTCATTTTCGTTTCTCTGAGAATTAATGAACGTAACGTCTTAGTTAGATTGTTTTCACATGCATAATGCGACAACGACTGACCGCTCGAATTTGGCACATTTGTTCTAAACTCTGGCAAATGTAACGCAAAAGTCAATACTTCGTCAATATCCGAATTCAAAATGAGAAGTTCTTCTACGCAGTCCCATTCAGAACAAAATCGTTTTTCAGAAAGAACTTTTTTTAATATTTGTGCTGACCTACTAAAAAGAGCTAAAGCTAAAATGGATCTTGAACTTATATTATTGTATGTGGTTTTTAAAGGAATAGAATTTTCAATACACTCATATATTACTGGACAATCAAACCTAATTGCATAATATAAAACTGCCACTAAATATTCTTCAGCGAACTGATTCCCGTCATATAATGGAATCAAAAATGGTAACAAAATCATCAATTTTTTAAAACACAGATGATGCGATGCGGTGAATTTATAAAATTCTGGTGCTATACCACGATAATTTAGGGCTTCAACGACTTTTTTATTATTGCTGATTAACCATTCCCTCTTAAAACTTCCGCCATTCAAAATAATATTGTTTTTAACAAGTGGATAACTTTTATTCCAAGCGCAAGCTACTTCCAAAATGTCACGACCAATGATATCCTTTTTAAGTAAATCTGCATCAGTAAATTCTTTTAGAATTGTAAGATTCTTATATATAACACCTACTAAACATTTCGAATTTTCCGCTAGCTTTAAATCTAAAAAAAAACGAATATTGTTATATCTACCGTCAGAAATAAAATTTTTGTCACGTGCTTTGGATGGTTCGTTTTCAAATAGATACAACGCTGCAAAATATTCACGGTACGAATTGTGAATGAACTCAACATCATATTTGGATATAACGTGACTTATAAATCCTACATCATCTCCTTCGGTCTTAATTTTTTCTACAAAACTGTCAGTCGTCTTGCCGTAACGGAATAATTTATTTACAATTTTGTGAAATAAAGAGTTATAAATGTAATAACTTGAAGCTAAACTTTTATAGTGGTTCATTCTAGCTTTTTTTTTCTTTTCAAATTCCCGTCTATTTCGTTCATACTCTAGTGCAACTGCATATTTATCCTTATATAGAATATGAAACTTTTGCTCAACAAAATGTTCATATAGATCAAGAACTGTGAAAATACCGTCTAACAAAGGTAGTTATTTCTTTCTGTCATTTAAAAATAGTTCTGTAAGCATATAGATTTGTAAAGGAATGCCTAAAATTTCACAATTTGGAAAAGACATTATATTTTTTCTTATTTTATTAAAAGTTTCATTTAATTCATCATCGGTAATCAGTAAGCGGTTTTTAATATATTCTTTTTGTTCGTCTTCACTAAATTGATTTATATTTCGCGCAAACGTACCTAATTCCTTTTCCAACATATCCCTCAAATTGATTCGAGAAGTCAACCATTGCTTCACTCTTTTTTCCGAAAACGCAGTTACCAAAGTTAAGATGAAATTTTGAGTGGCATCAGATGCCTCATCGACTCCATCCCATATTAGTTGTATTTGGTTTTGTTCCAGCATTTTTTCGAAGACTCTCTGGTGGAACTGGTTTCGGCATTCCCGAAAAGTATCTTCTAGGATGTATTTTACGAAATTCTCCACGTTTGACTCATGTTCCCCGAAGTGTAAAGCGTGATTTCTGGCGTAGATTAAAATAATCCACTTGTTTTGTATAATATTCGAAGGACCATCTGCCACGAGCTATGAGGCTCAGCAGAAAAGAAAAAGGCCGTAGATGCCACTAACACTCTTTATTGAACCTCGTGTTACAATGTCTTAAAATGCTATGAAATTTTTTCGGACCCTGTCCCTTGCAAGAGGCCCGTCCCTGTCGTTCGAAGGTGGGGGTAGGTACCCGGTTTCCGTCTCAACATCCCGGCCCCCTTGAAGCGTAGGTTTCAAAAGTGTAAAGTTTTAAAATATTACAATAAATGTCGATTAATGTAACAAATACAATAAGTTCCAACTGGAATACACAATCCAGTAAACAATAAAAAATGTAACAGTGAATACAATAATTGTTCGTGCAGAATTGTTGATCACTTTCACTGCTAACGCAAAATGGCCATAAATCACTCCCGAGCACATGGTAACACACACAATGTTCGTACCGCACGTTTGACGATCTTGTGGTCCACCCTGACGGAGACCACCCTGGTGACGCCGTCCTTCCCTGGATGTAGCTCGGTGACGCGGCCCCGCTTCCACGTGAGTGGGGCTGTGGTGTCCATTAGCAGGACCAGACTTCCCGGCATCAACCTGGCAGATCCTTGTTGGCTCCATTTGGTCCGATTCTGCAAGGTACTTAAATATTCCTTCGACCAGCGCCTCCAAAACTGTTGCCGCATCTGCTCCACGAGTTGCCAGCGAGTGAGCCGATTGGTCTTGACGTCAATGAGGTCTGGCTCCGGAATCGAGGTTAGGGGTGACCCGATCAAAAAATGGCCCGGTGTGAGTACGTCCAAGTCGTTAGGATCCGCCGAAGCGGGCACAAGGGGCGCGGATTCAGGCACGCCTCTATACATGCCAAGACAGTAGACACTTCCTCAAAAGTCAAAACCGAGGAACCAACTATTCGCTTTAAATGATATTTAGCAGATTTAATTCCTGCTTCCCAAATGCCTCCAAAGTGAGGCGCCCGGGCAGGGATAAAGTGCCATTTAATATTTTTGTTTTCTAAAAATGTTTCTATGTCGTTACTAACTCTACGCTGCTTGAACATGATTTGGAGTTCGTTGTGAGCCCCGACAAAATTAGTAGCATTATCTGAATAAATATTAGATGCTACGCCCCTACGAGACACAAATCGCTTTAATGCCGCCAGAAAATTTGCTGTGGTTAACTCTGAAACTAATTCTAAATGAACAGCCTTAGTCGACATACAAACAAAGAGCGCGATGTAAGCTTTAAGAGTTTTTTTGTTGCGTGTTTTACCATCTTTTATGATAAGAGGTCCCGCATAATCTAGGCCGCTATTTAAAAACGGCCTGGCTGGAGTAATACGCACCGATGGTAGGTCACCCATTATTGGAGTTACCTGTTCCGCCTTGAATCTAGCGCAAATGGTACAATTGTGTATTACCTGACGGACCAGGTCTTTACCTGCGAGTGGCCAAAATCTTTGTCTTACTGCCGATAAGGTGGCTGTTGGTCCCGAATGTAGTTGTATCACGTGTTCTTCCTTTATAATTAACCGCGTTATATGATGTTTTGGAAGCATAATCGGAAATTTTTGATCAAATTGAATGTTCGAATTACGCAGCCTGCCACCTACCCTGATTAATCCCGATTTATCCAGAAATGGATTTAATGTTTTTAATTTGCTATTAGAACGCACTTGTCCTTTAGTACCTAGATTAATTAGTTCTTGTGGGAACTCTATACCTTGTACAAGATGCAAAATGACTTGAAATGCTTGCGTCAATTCTAATAGCGACAACGAACCTGTTCGTCTGTCATGCTTATTTCTACAATTATGAGTAAATCTTAAACATATGGCCATTACTCTTTTTAATTTTGAGATGGAGGAATATCGTGTTAAAATTGGAACTTCAAAATTGTTTCCGGATATGAGTGCAACGCCCTTTAATCCAGGTACTTCGGTAGGCTGTAGGTGCGGTTTTGGCCAATTTTCTGACGATTCCCTTAACCAATACGGTCCGTGAAACCATAAATCACACTTGAGAAGCTCACTGGGATAAGCTCCTCGCGATATTATGTCGGCTGGGTTATCCTTTGTGTTTACATGTTGCCATGTATCCACAGTGGATAAATTTTGGATTTCGCTTACTCGATTAGCGACAAAGGTATTCAGCGTCGATGGCGAGGTTGCTAACCATGCCAGTACTATAGTAGAATCTGTCCAGTAAAAAACAGAATTGATTGACAGTCTTAAATTTTTAATCACGGTATTCGTCAGCCTCGATAGTAATAATGCTGCACATAATTCGAGCCGCGGGATGGTTATTGTGCGTAATGGTGCAACCCTTGATTTGCTGCATAACAAGTTACACGAAATCGTACCGTCCGCGGCGATGGTACGTACATAGTGAGAGGCTCCATAGGCACGTTGCGAAGCGTCGCAAAAACCATGAATTTCGATAAGACAATACGGGTATTTGTCGATTACACTACGCTGAGTTAAGCAACTATTCAAAATAGGTAATTCTTTTAATAATTGTAGCCAAATAGTCATAGTTTCAGAGGGAATTGTTTCATCCCACCCTAATTTTAACTCCCATAATTTTTGAATAATTAACTTGGCCTTTACAGAAACTGGGCCAACCAGGTTTAAAGGATCGAATATTTTGGAGACAATTGATAATATTTTTCGTTTTGTGAAGTTTTCATGCGACCTATAATCACAATTGATGTTATACCTTAACGAATCCTGTTTACAATTCCAATAAAGACCCAAAGTTTTTGACTCCCCCTCTTTATCAAAACTGATAAAATCATTGTTTTGACCGTTTGTATCCGAAGTATTCAGGGAAATATCATCAGGTAAAATATTTGAGTTGTTCGACGCCCATTTCCTTAGTTCAAAACCCCCGCTTGTTAATACCTCTATTAATTGGTCTCGAATTTTCACAACTTCTTCTATTGTGTCGGCTCCTGTGAGTACATCGTCCATGTAAAAATCGTGTACTATTACTGGATAAACCTTAGGGTATATTTCACGATTTTCATCGGCTAACTGTTGCAAACAGCGTACCGCAAGAAATGGCGCCGAAGCGGTGCCATTAGTCAATGTATTTAACTGAAAGACGCGTAACGGCTTATGTGCGTCCTCACGCCATACTATTCTTTGAAATTGTCTATCTTCCGGAGCTATTAATATTTGTCTATACATTTTGTTAATGTCGCTCGAAATTACGTACCTGTGGAATCTAAATCTTAGCAATATGGAAATTAGGTCATCCTGTATTTTTGGGCCAACCGCTAGTATATCATTTAGACTGATATTACTCGATGATTTACAACTGGCATCGAATACGACTCGGATTTTGACAGATTCCCGAGTTTCGCGCACCACTGCGTGATGAGGCAAATAAAAACAATTTGAATCAGTTATTGATGCTAATGGTATTGGTTCCATGTGTTTTAACTGTTCATACTCTTCCATAAATGACTTGTAACGCTCTTTTAAGGGAGGGTCGTTAATAAACTTTCTTTCAAGTGCCGCAAATCGTTTTATGGCTACCTCTGCAGATGTTCCTAATCTTTCGGAAGACGCCTTGAAAGGTAATTTTAGGATAAACCGCCCGTCTACATTTTGTTTATAGGTACTCATAAAGTGTTGTTCACATTTCCGCTCTTCTTCGGAGAAAGGAATATTTGCGTTGGCACGCCATTCCTCAATTTCCCAAAACCTTTTAATCTGTCGGTCTATTGAATTAAGAGACAAATGGCATACCGAGAAGGGTAAAGGATTATGACATTGAACATCGCCGCCTGCCAACCAGCCAAGCGAAGATTCTTGGAAGTGTAGGGAACCATTTGTTGTTTTTATTTGGCCCATTTTCATTATTTTCCAAAAAATGCCTACTCCTAATAAAAGATCTATTTCACCCGTTTTGAAAAATTCTACATCGGCCAGGTTTAAATTAGACGGAATTTCTAAATGGCGTTTCTCCAAAGAGATTAATGGCAAATTATTAGTAATTTTACGCAAAACTAAACATTGTACTTCATAGTTTGGCGAATCACCATAAACAGATTTAATGATAATTTCGCATGCATCACGACTTCTACCTTGACAATCGCCAATGCCATTGATGACCCAATCAGTTTTCTTAGTTTCAAGCCCTAAAAGTTTTACCGCCTTTTCAGATATAAAATTGTGTTGCGATCCCACATCAAGTAGAGCTCGCAATTTTACCCAAGTGTTTTTTACACTTAAAACTAGTACAATCGCTGTTGACAATAAGGCCTGAGTACTGGATTCCTTACTCATTGAATGTGAAACAACCTGAATGACTGTTGGAGTTATTATCGCTAGTTGTAGCGGGATAATCAATATGTAATAAAGAATTATGCCTCTCATTGCAAAATTTGCATAAACTCGCCTTGCATTTATCGACTGTGTGGTTTCTTCTAAAACAGTTCTGACAAAGCTTTAATAATCTGACCTTATTTAATCTTTCCATTATGGGCAATGCAAGAAATTTGTGACAATGGTATAACGTATGAGATTGCTGACACAAAAAACATTTTAACGTATCCTTATTATCATTGCTTAGACCTGTGTTGCATGCAGTAGTTTTAGTAACGTTGTTATTTGATTTCGCGAAATGCTTATGAAAATTCGAGGTATTTTGAACTTTATGATTTCCCATGTCATGTGAATTTAACGATTCTAACAGTAAGGTTCGTTTTTCTAAAAACTCTAGCAGTTCCTTCAATGACGGTACCTGATTTGATAAACCTGATTCCCACTCCCTTTTTGTAAGAAAATCAAATTTTGACACTACAATGGGAACAACAAATATATCACACTTTTCGGTATCTTGCTGAAGCACCTTTAGTGCTTCCATGTTTACTTTAACGGTGTCTAACAATTTGCGCAATGAAGAGGCTGAGTTTTTAATTATTTGTGGAGTATTCAAAATAGCTACCACGTGCTCTTGAATAATTAACCGCTGATTATTGAACCGTTTTTCTAACAATTCCCACGCGACCTTATAGTTTGAAGCTGATACGCTAAGCATTTCAACAGTTTTATGAGCATCGCCTTTTAAACATTTTAAATAATGAAACTTTTCGATATCACTGTACAACTGACTTTCGTGAATCAACGATTTAAAGGTGTCTGAAAATGGGGTCCACTGCAAATAATTCCCTGTAAATGACGGCAATTCCAATGTGGGCAACCTTACCGGGTTAATTACTCGCGATTGATTAGTCGTATCCCTACTACCTGAACTACTGGTTGACGGTGGGATCGTTGATCCATCGTCGATCAAAAGCTGCATGTGTGCCTCTAAATCATAATAGGTGGTTTCAAACTCATCTCGCTCTTTGTTCTGTCTTTCGCTAGACTCAATTAATTCTATTTGATTTTGAATATTGTCAAATTCTCTAAAGGCCTCGCGCAAATTTAATAATCTAGACCTAATCTGATACGTACGAGTATTATCGCTTGCGGTGAATTTTTCTACATACGATTTGATTCGCGTTACTTTACCCTTTATTAAACCTCTACGGGCTATTAATACTTTAAGTTCTTCTTCGGTCATGTTTTTTTTTTAAGTTGAATTGAAAATGACTAACAAATATAACTGTTTATATGGTGATACCAATACGGTTAGTTGACTTAAGAGGAAATGCACCAACTGAATCAACATGCACAAAGACTTACCAATTGCACCCGACCGCACCTTGACTGGGGACACGCCACTGCAGCCTGATGAGGTATCTCCCATAAACTTCCCTCTGATTCGATGATTACGATCCGGCTCGAAGGACCAATGTTTTGTATAATATTCGAAGGACCATCTGCCACGAGCTATGAGGCTCAGCAGAAAAGAAAAAGGCCGTAGATGCCACTAACACTCTTTATTGAACCTCGTGTTACAATGTCTTAAAATGCTATGAAATTTTTTCGGACCCTGTCCCTTGCAAGAGGCCCGTCCCTGTCGTTCGAAGGTGGGGGTAGGTACCCGGTTTCCGTCTCAACACCACTTTGTCGACATACTAGTATTTTTTAAACTCTTCGTTAATGTGCTTTTTCCCATTCCAGCATCGGCGCAAATAATGTTGATATTTTGTCGAGAATGACTAAAGTACTGGCGCTCGCGTATACTGTACTCCATAAAGTCACTTTGTAGACGAAACCTCTCAAGTTCGTTGATATATTTTCGTTCCGAGGCAAAATTTTCACTTTCCATCCATTCCAAACGATGATTGTCTAAATATCTGAAGTGATGAAACTGAATTTCTAAATTTTTTTTACACAATGCAGAAAATTCCTCTTGTGAAATCTCCTTTTCACAAATATATATCTTCTGATCATGAATTATGTTCTGAATGAGTTTCACATTAACCGCTTCGCCGACTGGTAAGTCTGGTAAAAATTGTTTGGAAGCGTCAACACGTGTTGCAAAAAGTCCCACCTGTGAAGCTTCATTTCCATAAGCAGAGTTCCTTTGTTTACGAATTGTGTTCTGAATAAGCTCAACGTCATGCACTTCGCTGATTACTAAATTTGGTAAAAATTGTTTAAAATAATTAACATCTGTTACGCAATCGACTAAAACAATAGTATTTACAGTAATTTGTTTCAAAAATTTTACATCTATTAAAATTTTCGTCAATTTTCTTTCAACATGACTGGGTGGTAGAGCATCTTTGCATTTTCCAATCAGCAATGGAGCTTCCATCATTTCAACTAAATCATCAGTAGTGATGAAGTCGCCGCTATCTTCGCAGATTTTTAGCAAATATTTCAATTCAGCGTCTTTTTGTCCTTGCAATGAATATGTAAAATTCGCTAGGATTTCTTCATATAACTGTTGGTGTTTTTCTAAGTCAGACAACTTTTCAAAGAAGTATGGTTTTTGTTGACCATCTGCACTGTCGTGACGGGGGTTAGTATTACTTTTTTTAACACACTCATTAAACGTTTCTCGATCGTCTAGTATAATTAGATTTTGAACCTGACATATTCTTATTGTTTCATAGACTTGTGGGCATCCTTCAACGACTAACGGAGTTTTTCCCAGCAACCACATGAGCTTCGATACTTTTTTTGCCTCGTGATCATAGAGACTCTCTTTGGTTTTTATTCCGTTTTTGATAAGTTGGTACTTGTAATTCAATTTATTCGTTTCTTCCATATCATATATATCGTCGACAGCATTTGACCAAACTGAGGCGATTTTCTCGAAATTGTTTTTATTCAGAAAGGTTAAGTCAAATTTCGAAACAGCTTGTCTAAACATTTTTCTTTTAGCGTCCAGTGATCCATCGGCAACAAAAGACAACGGCTTGATAGAAAATGAAAACACACAAAGGCTTATAATAATAATAATAATAATATTTATTTGTCCAACAGGTTAACATAATGAACCTAATTAGAGGACAAAAACTAACTAACTAATTTATAATGTTTTTGCTTATCATGTTTTTCATCCATGTTTTATTTAACTTGAATTTGTGTCCTTCCTTCTTGCTCCACTCGGTTATAAAATGTAGATACTCCCGGAAAACGGTTTCGTTGCTTTTGAAATATGTCTCGAATGTCTGAAGTGTACACGTTTCTAGTTCTTTGGCATCAGCTTGATCAGTATAAAGATACAAATTTTTAAAAAAATATCCATATTTTTCAAAATTATCTTCATTTTCTTCGAATCTGTAACACTGTCCTCCCGAATTGGATATACGTGTACTTAGCAAACTGTTTTGTTCATGTGGCGTCAATTTGCCAAATTTAAACTTATCTAGGTGTTCATCATTTAGCTTAGAATTAGTAAACAAAACCATCTTGATACGCGAGTCAGACAACTTCGGCTCTTTTTCGAAGTCTTTATAATACTTTTCTAAGCTGAAATTTCCACTTGATGCATTTAACTGCTCAATTGTTATTCCCCCTGATTTACTAACGTGTTTCAGTTGAATAGCAAAAATTTCGGTGTGATCTTTGAATTCAATTTCAGCTACAACGTCACCGAAAGAACCATATACACTATCGTTCGACGACAGATGAAAATTTTTCACTTTGTCGTCAATGATTAATTTTAAAACTAAATTCGCTATGTAGAGATGTTCGTACTCTTTGCCGAGGTCTATGGTACCACTTCTCTTTTTAAATTTCTGAAAAGAATGTTTCATAAAGTAAGAAGTCCAATTAAAAAAAAAAAAACATATAATTTAATAATTTAATACAATACATAATGGTTGTCGACGCAGGTAAAAATTTTAAACAATATTTTCAAATTTTTCGTTTTCATTTTTCCTGTCAGAAACACTTGTCAGTTCGCGGTGCAATCTTGGCAGTTTTGAATTTGCGTATTTTTACGAATTTTTATAATGTAAGCCATGCCGTTTTTGAATGAAAGGAAAGGTGAGGCACACACTTCTGACTTGTCGTTTCTTTTAAATCCGTGTAACGCGAGGCCGCTAGATGGCGCTGCTAGAGAAGTACTCCACTGGCGGAACCACCCTCGTACTTTCTTCTTCCTCGAATCGCGGACGCGGACGGCCGTGTTTTACAATGTGTTCATATTATTTTAAAGTTTTATACATTTATTATCAGTTTTGTGAATAAAGTTTTCGTAGAAAGAAAAGTGTTTTCTTGGACGTGGCGAAAAAGTAATCGTCGCGTAACATCAGACCTGATCATTGTCTAATGTGTCCACAGCCACTCTGAAATGTTATATAATAGAGAGCGGAAAATATGCAGCAAAATTTTGGGAAATATGATCATAAGATATGCATCAAATTTGTGCAAATATGCAGTAACTTTCTTAATATATGCAGAAATATGCAGTTGCATATGCTCAAAAAATTTAAAAAAAGCGTAATAACCGAACTAGATTTATTTACAAATTACACAAACAGGTTTCCCGAGCTTACGTTTTATTACAAAAATACATAAATCACATTTTTAAAGAAAGTATTCTTATACTAAAGAATAAATATAAACATTACTATTTTGGTAACAATTTATTTTTAAATATTTTTCGAAATACTGTAACAAAAAGTTTTTCCGGTGATTCTAAGGTATGTATTTGTAAATAGAATAACTGCGTACTACGTCCACAGATGTAAAATACTTGGGTTTAGAGCAAGCGCAAAACACAGTGCCTTCTTGAAGAATAAGTTCAAGAAAAGGTTTCATCCATAAATTAATTTAACTATCTTCGACATATTGACACACCTGTATCGCTTTAAATGCTTTCAATGCAAACTCACGGTGAAAAATAATATAATAATAATAGCGTCGCTTCGACCACCATAAAACATACTAATTCGGAATTTAATGCATAAAATGAGATATTGATTAAATGAAGCACAAAAAAGTAGAATAATTATGTTAAAAATCAAGGCGTATTCATAATCCACGGGTACAGAAGTATATTATTTAAAAAATTTAGATGAAATTTACTACGCAAAATGATAAGGGAGCGTCATCAGTAGAGAGCGGATTTTATGAAATTTGCATATCCGTTATTTTTTGTATATAAGTCTTGATATTTAATATGTGCACGAATCATGCACATATTCCTAGAAACGAATATAGCTATAGAAAATTGCATATTTTTTTACGGGTGCATATTTTGCATTTTTATCGATTTTTGTGATAATTAAGAAAAAAAGATTGTCATTCTATCGGCATTTATCTAGAAAGACGAAACCACTGGGTATTAAGCCATTCCTTCAGGTAAATTCGGGCCCTAATTACTTTTGGAAATACCGTTCATTCCCAATATTTTCGTTCGTTACTTCAGTGTATTAATACTTATTATAATTTATCTAGGAAACTGTATTTATTTCATTGTACCTCAGAACCAAAAAAAGGAATTTCTACCTAAATAGCCTTAGACCAAATATATGAATTGTTTATACAAATGTCTCAAAAAAATTAATGAATGAAGCAATTTATTTCATTGATCAAATTAAAAGCTTACGCACAGAAAGTAAAAATTAAATAAATAATCATTATAACTAGAGTCCGGAATTGATGAGATTTGCATGTTGCTGACTATTCATCCTACAATTAAATGCTTTCGGATCTAGGCGAATTAGATACATAGGAATTGATTGACGCGTATTAAATTTTGCATATTTTGCATATATCGAGATTTTTCACATATTTTCGTATCTTTTGCATATTTTCACATATTTTGACAATTTTTAGATTTTCAAAGCATAACGCAAACTGTTTATTGCAAGTGTCGGCGTTTTTTACTTCTAAAGGTGGAAATCTACAAGACAATGTCTTTGGTTAAATTTCGAAAATTGTCAAAAACAATCGAAAATTTTAAAACGACGTGTATTGAAAAACTGAGTTTTTGAAAAAGTTGCTTAAAAAATTCCAAACAATTCTGAGATATACATTTTGACATGCCAAATCTGGTTTGAAATTTATTTTTTTTTTTGCTTAGTTGCCACATTTCAATTGGCGGTTCTGGAAAAATGGTGGAAGTTACATTTGCCAAAATCGGTCTTATTTTAACAGGTACTAGCCCCGCCCATCTACCCTCTCTTTTATTAGAGGGCATGTCATTTGCTAAAATCGATCTTATTTTAGCAAGTATTAACCCCGCCCACCCACCTCCTATTTTATTAGAGGGATCACATTTGCCAAAATCAGTCTTATCTTAGCAGTTACTAAGTGTAACTTTTTCCTACAGAGTTCTATCTTAGTAATTACTAGCCCCGTCCACCGGCGCTGTTCTCATTCTAACGATTTTATTTCTCTAGAATATAATTCCAAACAAGCATTAAAAAAGTAAAGCGAAAAATAGGACAACTTATAAATAAAAAGTTTAAGGAAGTACTAGATAAGAATCAAGGTTATATTTTGTTATCAAAGGTAACTAAAATACATAATGAAGATTCTAGTAGTGAGGTTAACATAGAACCAAATTTAATTAGCGCTCTTATGCTCTTAAGTATGCATCCATTACATCAGTGGATGTAGAGAGGAGTTTCTCTACCTATAAACAAATTTTGTCTGATAGGCGACATAATTTTTTAATTAAAAATTAAATTTTTTGTTATTTAGTTGTGTTTTTTTTTGTAAAATAAAGTTTTTAAAATATGGCACAATAGTGTTTTAAATTAAACCTATTAGACTTATGGATACACTACAAATTTATTGTATGCTCAATAAAAAAATGTACAAAATGTGTGCATATTTTCCTAAAATTAAAACATATTTTCTTATTTTTTCTGCATATTTCTGCACATATTTTGGCCAAATTTCGTGCATAAAATTCCGGACCCTAATTATAACTTACAGTATCGTGTGTAAGAACAGTTACCATCAAGTGTCTTGATAAATAAATATACAGGGTGAATCGCTAAGCGCGTGTTTCGATATTTCGTTAATTATTAGAAATAGAAAAAAAATCCAAGACTAAAGTTGTACAGTTGTTTGAGGACCATTTACAAAAATTATTTTCAACTAAGTGTACAGAGCGTAACATGCGACTTAGTTTTTTAAAATAAAAGTGATTTCACTATGTTGAGTGATATTAAGTACTTGTACTTTATTTTATACTCAACAAGAATTAGGAAATAATTATTGTGTTGTATCATTGTAATCACAACTTAACGATCTACCCAAATTCGTTAAAAAATATATACCTACGTTATAATTAAAAAAATATATCGCGACGACGCCACCGTACATGAGTCAATATTTGCAATGTACTAAATTAAGCTTCGCCCTTTAAGTTAAAAACAATGGCGTTTACGGAATTTCAGTGCCTCTATCCGTTACCCTGTATAATAGATATATATACCTTTATCTCTATCACGTCAAGGTTTCATACAAATTTTCCATCATCACATTGTATTGTTATCACTTCTGATCGGACACAGTGATATTATTGTTATTGATATTTATTATTATTATTATTATTATTATTAATATTATTATCACTATCTACTAAAGATTTTTAAACAATAAAATTAAGAGATCAGTATCTGTATGCGAAAATAAATTAGGTAACAAAATTGTTTTCATAATATAAAAAAAAAATGCTGAGTATTATCACGTTATCAGAGATACTTTATGATCAGAATCCGAACAGGAATGAGTGCACTCGAACTTCGCGTCGGAACGATTAACATTAAAGTGGCTAACTATACTGTACCAAAGTGGGTTAGTTTTAGTTCAAATTCACACAATGATTATATTATCACGTATCGCGTAGTATATACTGACTGTTCAACTTTTAAATAACAAACTAACATCAGTATCTAACTTACCGGGGAAGAATTTTCAGGTGTTTCGCTTCGTTCGTCGACACTTGTACTTTTCCAAGTCTATAAATAAATGTAATTGTAAATAAATTGTTATAAAATGTATTTTCTGCAATAACTTACCGATGCCATGTTTAATCACAATAAAAAATAATCGTTATGCAATAGTTGTAACTTGCAACTAAAATGACAGAGTTTTAGGTAATTGTTATTAAGGTGTTAACTTGATTATTCGTAAAACTCTTTTGACAGAGACTCTAGAAAGCAATCAGTATTTATTAAAAAAAAAATTATCTTTTAAGTAGCTCTTAACAAAAATATATTTTTTAAAACATGGACAAGTGCTTTTTATTCAAGGTTATTTACACAATGGAGAACTAATAGATCAGATTAGATTTTATTTAAAAGTATGCCATTTTTAATTTTATCTCTGAAATATACAAATTCAAATGGGATATAGATTTTTGAACTTTAAGCTCCAGTTTGTGGACAAAATACAATTTTTCTGCTTTATGTTATTCTTAAAAATGGGAAGCTTACACAATAAAAATATGCCCCGCGTTTAAAGAATGTAATACCGGACGTATCGCATGGGTGCGTTGGGTTAGTGCGTAATTTTTTGATCACTTATAGCTACATCGTTAAATACACACCTCAAAAAAATTAACGCAACATTTCAAATTTGTTAATAACAACTGAAAAAATTACAAAAAGATACTAAAAAACATGCCTTATGATTAGTTAGAAGGAATTTTGTTTCATCTAGGCATAAAAAAAGTTCCTTGTCATTTGTAACTGGTGGATCTATTAAAAGAAAGAAAGTATCTTATCATGGTACCCTTATATCCAATTCTAAATCACATGTTTGTGAAATATTTGAAGCGAAAACGTCATTTTCGCTTATAATGAATGTTCCTGATCGCATTACGCGTAATTTATCGAAGAAGCGGCCATCTGGGCTGTAGCTTTGGTTGAAGATGGTTAGACCCAACGCTGTGGTCAATCTGCTGGGCGTTGATCGTTCGACCATTTTTAATCTAATGCAAAATTATCAAAGTACTGGAAGCATGAATAGAAGACTAGGACAAGGTCGTAAACGGAAAACATCACAACAAGATGACCGATTTTTGCGCTTAACAGTACTCAGGTCGCGACACTGCACAGCAAAAATGCTCCAAAAAGAGATTTTAACTGCTCGCGATGTGGTGCTGGGTACTCAAACGATACGAAATCGTTTGCGAGAAGTTGGTATGCGTCCAAGAGTACCTCCCAAAGCACCCTTGCTCACCAGGGCACACAAGGTAGCGCGCTTAAACTTTGCGCTAAATCATCAGCTTTGGAATGTCGAGGATTGAAGCAATATACTGTTTGCAGACGAATCTCGTTTTTGGCTGTATTCCTCAGATCGTCGTATACTGATGTACAGACGACCTGGCAAGCGATATTTGCCTACCAATATTCTTCTACAAGTAAATTTTGGAGGAAGCTCTATAATGTTTTGGGGTGGCATTTCCTACACCGGACATACTGAATTGGTGGCGCTACCAGGAGCTCGTTTAACAGCTACACGGTATATTACTGATGTTTTGGAACCTCATGTTATGCCCTGTGGAGCCTACATAGGGCTAAATTTTACTATATGCACGATAATGCGCGGTCTCATACAGCTCACATTGTGCAACGATATTTAGAAGAGGTTGAAATTCTGCTTCTACCACGGCCAGCCAGGACTCCCGACATGAACCACACTGAACATGTATGGGACTATGTGAAACTGAGGATAAAGGAGCGCAGATTGGTTCTTGGAGACTTTAATGCCATCTAGAATGCCATCGTGCAAGAGTGGGAATATCTTCCGTAAGAGTACATTAGGGGTTTAATCGAGAGTATGCCTCGACTAATGTAGGCTGTTATTAGAGCTAGAGATGGAAATACTTCGTATTAACTTGACTTTTGCTTGTGTTGGATTGTTATTAACATTTAATGGCTAAGATAAAAGACCAACTTCTGGTAGTAAATTTTGTTTTTGCTCGTTTTGTCTTTATTTTACTTCACTGTAAACGCTACAGTTGCCTACAGGAGCATCTCTTACAGTAAATTAGCAAAAACAACGTGTTGCGTTAATTTTTTTGAGGTGTGTATTTACATTCGCAAAAATCCTTTCTGAAAATTATATTTTGAGGCCAAAATTGTCTTATTTATACTGCTAACTTGTATGTGATTTACGTCAGTTGTTTTAATGAATTATTCTGATATGGTCTACTAACTCTCTTGTACATAAATATCTTTAAATAAAATTTATTTGAAAATGCAAAAAAAGAGTCAAATATACCAATTAAATTTAAAAAATGAACAACACAAAAGTTATTTTTGGAAAAACATAAAAATTAAAAACCAAAAAAGAGTAAAAAATTAACTAAGGAAACAAAATGGTCCTGCAAAAGCCACCCAATGCGACATTTGGCAGAAAATTTAAATAAAAACATTCGAGTCTTGAAATAAATTAAATCATAGAACTTCCAAGACCGTTACAACCAAATCAAGTTTTGTATTTTAATGATTAAAACCTATATACTTCAATTAAACGCATAGCACAGTAGACCATCATATTTACTCAATGTGTAGGACATTATTTACAGGAAAAAGGAAAAAATTAAATTTAGTTCGTATATATTAACACATTTATTATCTTCAAATATTTGTTGATCTTATTTTTTTGCACAATACTGTTTAGACACACAATCTTACGATCTAATTTCCAAAATTCAATTGTTTTGTACTGATGGTTATCAGTATTCAAGTATTACTATAAATACGTATACCGTCATTTTCGCTGATAGGGTGGCATTTAATAAAACCAACTGCTAGATTACGTCGAGTACTTAAGTAGTTCGTTGTTTTTAACAAATTTATTATCTTAACATATTTGTTGATCTTATTTTTTAATTAACACAGTACTGTTACGACACAATCTTAAGATCTGATTTCCAAAAATTCAATTGTTTTGTAACGATAAACGACTCAAGTATTCTTATAAATACATCTTGCGTCATTTTCGTTGATAAGAAACACGCTAATACGTCGTGAACAAAATGCGTCTGAATTTGAATTTTGGTGGAAAACTGGTTGATTACGTATACGCCGTTTTCGCACCATTTCCTTCAAGTAAATTCTCACAGTCCAGATGTCCTTTTTCTCGGGCGTGGTCAATGGGCAAACGACCATCTCCATCAGGAACATTCACTTCCGAACCACTCGTTATCAGTAAATTTATTGTATCTAAATGGCCAACTTCGCACGCATAATGAATCGGCAGCCAACCATTATCATCAGGAACATCCAGCGCTACACCACTAGCTATCAGCAGTTTGACTACACCTAAATATCCACTCTGACACGCATAATGAATCGGCAGCCGATGACTTTTATCCACAACATCCAGTTTCGCACCAGATGTTTTGAGTAAACTTGTTGTTAATAAATACCCTTTTTCGCACGCATAATGAATGGGCCGACGTCCATCTTCATCGGGTGCATCTATTTTCACGGAATGGGTCATCAGTAGTCTTAGTGGATCCAAGTAGTTATTTCCAGACGCATAATGAATTGGCAGCCAACCTTTTTGATCGGGAACATTCAACTCTGCAGAATTCTCCACTAGTATTTTTACAATATTCGAATGACTATTTTCGCACGCATAATGTATAGGACGCCGACCACTTCCATCGGAAACATCTAGCTTTACGTCACTCTTTATCAACAAATCGACCACAACAGAGTGCCCTTTTTCGCACGCATAATGAATTGGCAACCGGCCATTTTTATCAGGAACATCCACTTTCGCACCATTCTTTATCAACAGTTCTACTAGATCTAGATGTTCTGTTGCACAAACACAGTGAATTGGCAGTCGGCCATATTTATCAGGAACATCTATTTTCGCACCATTATTTATCAACAGTTTTAATATACCTTGATGTTCTTTTTCGCAAGCGTAGTGAATTGGCAGCCGACCATCCTTATCAGGAACATCCATTTTCGCACCATTTTTTATCAACAATTCTACTAGATCTAGTTCTTTTTCGCAAGCGTAGTGTATGGGCAGACGACCATCTCCATCTGGAACATTTTCTTTTGCACCACTTTTGATCAGTAAATTTACTACAGGACAATGTCCTTTTTCGCACGCATAATGAATTGGACGTCGTCTAGATTTATCAGGAACATTCACATTCACACCATTTCTAATCAGCAATTCTACTAGATTTAGATGTTCTTGTGCGCAAGCGTAGTGGATGGGCAGTCGACCATCTCCATCTGGTACATCTTCTTTTGCTCCACTCGTTATCAGTAAATCTACTATGTCACAGTGTCCTTTTTCACACGCGTAGTGAATTGGCAGCCGACCATCCTTATCAGGAACATCCAATCTGGCACCAGTTCGTAGCAACAGTTCTACTAGATCTAGATGTTCGTTTTCACAAGCATGATGAATGGGTAATCGACCATTTCCATCTGGATGGTTGACTTTGGCACCGTTCACTATGAGTGATTTCGTTGTGTCTAAGTATCCATTCTGACAAGTATAGTGAATAGGTAACTGACCATTTCGACCCGGAACATTCACATTCGTACCATGATCTATCAGGAATCGTACCATATTTGATACTTCTTTATCACCATTCGTCCTTGGAAATTTTTCCACGTTACATGCATAATGAATTGGCTGCAGACCATCTCCGTCCGAAACATTCACTTGGATACCATTCGACACCAAAAGCTGCATTGTATCCAAATCTCCCCTAATGCATGCATGGTGCATGGGCAGCCGACCATTATCATCCCAAAAATCGATTTTCGTAACATTCGCTACCAGCAGTTTTAATACATCCCAGTGACCATTATCATACGCAATACACATGGGAACTCTACCCCTTTTATCCGGAACATGCAGTTTGGCATCTTTCAGAATTAACAAACGCAACGTTTTGGGCAAATTTTTCTCACACCCATAATGTACCAGGGACTGACCTCTAGAATTCGGAACCTCTACCCTAAATTCCGGCATTTGTAACACAAAAACAAATATTTCGTCAATCTCAGAGTTCGAAATCGGTAGTTGTTCCAAAAAATCCCACTCAAAAAAGTCTCGTTGTTCGGAAAAGAGTTTCTGTAAAATTCGTCTCGATCTGCTGTAGAGCGCTAGAGCTAGAATGTTCCCTGGATTTAACTTGTTGTATGCGTTTTTGAGCGAAGGAGACATTTCCAAGCATTCGAAAATCATCAGAAAATCAAACCGGATTGCGTAGTACAAGACGGTGGGTGAATACTCTTCGGTGAACTCACTCTCGTCGAAGAAAGGTATAAGAAACGGGAAGAAAATCATCAACTTCTTAAAACAGGAAGCGAGCGATGGGTCAAACTTAGAAAATCTTTTGCGTTCTTCACGATAATGCATACCTTTATTTTCCAACGTGTTGATATTTAAAAGCAGAGTTCTTTCCACTCCAATTGGAAAAGTCTTAGTCCAGGCAGAAGCCACTTTCAAAACATCACGCCCGATGACATCTTTCTGACTTAAATCTTCATCTGTACACTCTTCCAAAATTGTAGGATTCCTGTATATTACGGCTACTAAACATTTAGAATTTTTGGCTAACATTAAATCCAAAAAAAATCGAATATTGTTATAACGACCACCCACAACAAATTTTTTGTGGCGTGCTTTAGAAGCTTCATTTTCGAATAAGTACAAAGCGGCAAAATATTCACCAAACGAGTTGTGAGTAAATTCGGCTTCGTTATCATTTGGCACCCGACTTATCAACCCTGCGTCATCTCCCACACTTTTAATTGTCTTGAGAAACTTTTTAGTGTCTTTGTTGTAAGGAAATTTGATAAATTTAAATAAAGTAGCAGCAATGCTTTTATAAAGTTTGATTTTAACCTCCTTTAAATTTTGAGCATCCTGTTCATTCCATAATGCGGTTTCTTTTTTATTTCGGTACAAAACAATTTCTATAAAATGCTCGTATAAATCTAGAACCGTAAAAATACCGTCTAACAAACCGAGATACTTTTTTTTGTTGTTCAAAAGCAACTCCGTCAGCATGTACATCTGCATCGGAATCCCCAAAATGTCGCTGTTGGGAAAACTCTCTATATTGTTCTTTATTTTAGGAAAAATTCTAGAAAGCTCCTTCTCGGGGACTCGTAGACGACTTTCGACGTATTCTTTTCGCTCTTCATCCTCCAACTGCTTCAAATTTCGTGAAAACGCCTTCAGCCTACTTTCCACTCGAGTTTTCAAGTCATTTGTACACGTTAACCATTGTTTTATACCTTGATTGGATATTTTTTCCACCAGGGTTAACAGCGAAGTCAACATACCCCCAGAAATTTCGTCCAGTCCGTCCCATATTAACTGTATCTGCTTCTCCTCCACCATTGCTTTGAAAACTTTTTGGTGCAACGGATTTGTGTATTTTTGAAACACAACTTCCAGAAAATATTTTAGAAACTTGTCTACTTTGAATTCGTTCTTTCCAAAATATAAAGCGTGGTTTCTGGCGTAAATTAAAATGGTCCACTTTGAGGAACAAGTGTTGTTTTTCAAACTCTTCATCAGTGTGCTTTTTCCCATGCCAGGGTTGGCACAAATAATATTGATGGGTTGTTCACTGTGGTTGAAAACTTGTGACGCTTGTTGAACATATTCACTTGATTCGGGGTCCACCCGAAAATTTTCAAGTTCGTTGAAATCGTCGCTCCTGATCCACTCCAAATGGTTACCATCCAGATATCTGAAGTGATGGAATCGTACCTCGGGGTTGTTTCCACACAAAGTAGTAAATCGTTCTTGTGAAACGTCATTCCTACAAACGTAAATCTTGTGGTGTTCGATTTGCTTAGCACTGTCTATGTCGATTATTGTTCTGATTTCTGATTCTGGAAGTCCACGTTGTACGAAAGTGTTAATATCTTCGACTCGTGAAACTAAAGCTACAGTTTTTGCATCCATCTCCTCCAAAAATTTAACATCTATTGCTATCTTGGTTAGTTTTCTGTTGATGTAACTGGATGGCAAAACTTCCTTTTGACTACCGATCAACAAAGGAGATTCCAACATCTCGACGATGTTATCAACAGTAATAAAATTATCAACGTCGTTGCAAATTTTGAACAGGTCTTTCAGTGTGGTTGCTTTCTGACCCTCCAAAGAGTAGGTGAAATTGTTAACAATTTCTTCGTATAATTGTTCGTTCGATTTTAAATCCGACAACTTTTGAAACTCCTGATCACTTTTAGTGCTAAGATGGCAGTTTTCTTGATCATCCAGCACGATAAGGTTTTTAGTTTGACATATTTTTATCGTTTGATAAACCTGTGGGCTTCCTTCCACGACTAAAGGACTTTTCCCCAGCAACCACATCAACTTTGTTACTTTCGATGCTTCGTTGGTATAAAGACTCTTCTTTGTTTTGATCACTTCTTCTATAATCTGATTTTTGTTGTTTACCCTGTTCACTTCTTCCACGTCTTCCAAACTAGCAACAACATCCGACCACACAGATTCGATTTTTTCGAAATTCGTTTTCTTTATGACAGTAAAGCAAAATTTTGAAGTGGCTTCTCGAAAAATTTTTCTGTTTTTGCTGACAGATCCACCGTCAACAAAAGACAGTGGTTTAATAATAGGTGAAAACACACAAAGGGCTATCACCTGCCTCATCCACATTTGATCCAATTCGAAAATTTTTCCTTTATTTCTAGTACACCGAGTTATAAAATGGACATATTCCTGGAAAGCAGACTCGTCGCTGCTGAAAAACTTCTTGAATGTTTTCAATGCACATTTTCTGAGTTCTTGAACACCTAACTGATCAGTGTAAAGATAAAAATTTTCTTCATTCGCTTTGAACGTGAGACAACGTCCAGAATGCAAACTTTGTATCAGTTCACTGGATTGATTTGTCTTCAGTTTGTCAGACTTAAACTGGCTTATGGTCTTCGTATTGTCTTTATAGTACACCACTAAGTTACGAGGTTGATTTACCTCACAGTTTTCACCGATGTCAAAATCTCCTTTTGTTGTTTTCTTTAATATTTCGATTATTTGTGTTGGTTCGCTCACAGGTTTCAACAGAAAAACGAATGTTTCGGTTCGATTTTTGGCTTTAATTTTAACCACAATGTCGTTGAAGGAATCAAACTGCTTTGTACTGGATGACAACTTGAAATCTTCGACGTTATCGTTAAGCAGGAGCTTTAAAATTAAGTTTGCTAGGTAGTGGCATTTGTAGGTGTTGTCAGCGTTCGTGGAGGGCTGTGTACTTGAAATCTGAAAATGTAGACATTCTTTAATTTATCTCAACAGTTTTTTAATTGCACAACATGATTTTTATTTCTCTTAAAATAAATTCGCAAAATAAAGTTTTCTAATTTAACTAAAAATTTGTATTGTTTAGACTGAACTTCAAGGTGAGGGAAAATCTGTCCACCATACTCTTGTGGTTTCTCAACGTTTCATGACCTGTAGAGTACGAGGAAATAGGTCTCCCATTTCCGTCTGGCTGTCTGTCTGCCGTCTGTACGGATTTTTATTGGACAAATAAGAAATAAGCACGTAGCACGCTTCTTTATATGTATGTATGTATTTACTTTAACATTACATACATATCTTTATTTGAATTTATGTGTTATCATAAAAATCAAATCTTAAAATTTTTCGAAAAATCTGAATTTATTAATCTTCGACCAATTTTTTCATATCACAATTTTTCGTTTTTCAAGTCCAATTTTTTCAGTTTCTCGACATTTAAATTTTCCAATTATCGTTTGTAATTTTTCGATGTTACAGTTTTCCACTTTCATGATTTTCAGTCTTCGATTTTTATGTTTCTTTTCCCCGGCTTTTAAATTTTTATTGTTTAGATTTTATATCACAATTTTTTTCCCTTTATTTTTTCAATGTTTCTTTCGATTTTATTCAATTTTTTAAATTTCCAATCTTTGATTTTCAATTCCTTGATTTTCCAATACGTGTTCCGTTTTTTCGATTAAAGTTTCACAATTTTTATTCATTCAATTTTTGAATTTCCGTTTCTTTTATTTTTCAAGTTCTTGATTTCTAGTTTTTAAATTTTTCAAAGTTTTCATTTTATACTTTTTCGTTTTTTCATTTTTGATTTTTCAATTTTATAATTTTGCACTTTTTCCATTTTTTTTATTCGAAGATCGAAAAATTGAAAAATCCAATAACTGAAAAATCGAAAAACCGAAAATTCGGAAAAAATTGAAAAATGCAGTCTTCCATTTTTTCTGAATTTTTAGTTTTTCGATTTAAATTTAATAATGTCTCAAAAAATCTAGATTTATAATATTTTATCAATGTTTTGATATCACAATTTTTCGTTTTTTTCAATTTTTCAATTTCTTGAATTCCGAAATTTTCAATTATCGTTTCCTCAATTTCTCGATTTGCAATTTTTCAAATTTTACGAATTTTCGATGTTTCAATTTTTCTTTTTTAGATTTTTTAACGTTTTCAATTTTAATTTTTTGGTTTTACAATTCTGCAATGTTTCCATTTTTTTGATTCGAATAATTGAAAAATCGAAAAATTAAAAATCGTAAGACATTGAAAAATCGAAAAACTGAAAAACCAAAAAATTGCAAAATCGGAAAACTTCAAATCGAATAACTGAAGAAACAAAATCGAAAAATTAATGAATCGACAAATTGGCAAAAAGAAAAAACGAATCGAATCGAAAAATTGGAAAACCCAAATGCAAAAATTGTAAACTCGAAAAAGTATTGAATCGTAAAAATTGTAAACTCTAAAAATTTTGACACCGAAAAATTGAAATTTTAGTGATTTTGATTTATTTAAATTGAAAAAACAAATAAATTATAAAATCTGAACATAGAAAAATCTAGATACATGAAAATAAAAAGAAACAAAAAACCGAAACGAAAAACTACAAATTAACAATTTGAAGAAATGAATAATTAAAAAATCGCAAAATTTAAAGATGAAAGATTGAAAACTCAAAAATCTAAAACTGAACAAATAAAATACTGACAAAATTTAAAATGGAGAAACAAAAAAAATATAAAATCGGAACTTTGAAAAATTGAATAAGTGAAAACATAAAGAAGATAAAAAACCGAAACGAAAAATTGCAAAATCTAAAAATTAAAAAATTCAAAAGTTGAAAAATTGAAAAACTGAAAAATTTAAACATAAAAACTCGAAAAATTAAAAAACAAAAAACATGTAAAAACTGAAGAACTGGAGTGTTATTTTCCCCATAATTTTTACTTTATAGAGGTTATCAAAAAACAAAAATCGCAAACAATTTTTATAATTTTTCAAGGAAATTTGTTGGGCTACATACACTTCAGGAGCAAAGCATAGTACAGTTCTGTCGAAATTTTTTGTAATCTCAATTCCATCTAATCTAGTCCACTCTTAACAGGGCATCGGCAGTTCAGCACCAAAGTTTATCTGTTTTACTATTTACACCATAAAATTTGATCAATGTTTCCACATAAATTCTTTACGAAATCAACATCAATTTTTTTTTAATTACAAGTCTAACAAGATAAGCAATGTTTTTGTGTTAAGTTTTATAAAAAATGTATAACATTATCAGAAAATTTTGCTTAAATTTTGATAATTTTGGAAACAACTAAAGAATTTACCTTTTTCGTAGGTGAAATTTTCGCTTCACTTCCTGAAGCAGTAACACTGATACCATTTGGACTAGGAAGTACATATTTAGTCTGTGGCTTTCTGCTGGACAGTTCTACTTCTTCATTTTGTTTGAATTTTTCTCGTCCGTGAGTATGTGGTCTCGATTTATTTTCCATGATGGAAAGTCACTAAAAATTTACCCAAAATCACGACAAAGACATTGAAAGTTTGTACAAAATTACCCAGTAGAATATATAAAAAATGTTGTTTTATTTAAGATAACTGCGATATACTTTCACAATCAAAACCATGTCTGATAAAAAGTAATCTCATTTCTTTGTTGCAAAATCAAAATTTCAAAAATACGTTATTGAGATCGTAAACATTGAAGTAATTTAAACACGTGAGTACCTACACTAAAAGCGGCTTAATATCTTAAAAGCTCGTATATTAATTCTTATCAATTAAGTACTGGTATCAAAACATTATTGTCTTAAAACATACTTTTTATGTATTTAAGAAGCCCTACTTAACGACTACGTCACCATCACCAGTGGGATAACAGCAGTTACCATTATCCTTCATGCAACATTTTTTCTATAGATTTGGGATTCGTTTAAATATAAACAAATAAATAAATAAATAAACACATATTTAAAAAGAGTCGGTTATAAAAATTACTGACACATGTCTAGAATCTTGTGCAAGTGGTTGACTTACCTCAATATCGTTTGTAAACATATTCTAACCCTTGAAACAATAACAAAACTCATTTATCTTTTAAAAAATGATGTAGCTATAATATTAAAACTAGTTCGTTGAAAGCATAAACACTATATACCTGTCTTATCGATAAGACCCTTATTACGGCGCAGTAGATAAAATTCATCTATTAATTCCAATACCAAAAATAAATAAATGATAATGATGATAACTTGATAACAATCAACACTGTTAACGCAGAAAGACATATATTGTAAACAACAAAAGTAATTGTAGCATGAAAGTGTTATTATCTATTATAATACAAGAAATGTGTACATGGAAGTTAAGACTAACGATTTTTTTTATTCGATTTATAGTAAAATTTAGATGTAATAACATTCCAAAGTATACCCACCTGTAATTGACCATAGTATGAACATACGTTACATCGAAGAAAGTCTTGCTGTTGCAGCACAAGCATCGACGTCACATACAGTTTAACATTAACAGAAAACTCGAGCCTGATTGGTTAGTTCAAGGTTAACTTGTTATGATGACACGGCTCTCTTAATTACAACGGTGGTTACTAAATATCTGCCTACCTTACGCTTGGGAATAAAAATTAGGATGAATTCACAGATGAATCCCTAAGCGTACTGTGCTATAAAATTATTGTTAACTATACAGTGTGCTCGATTTTTAAGGAGTGACGCACAACTTAGTTTTCTTTAAAGAAACAGCCCGTATATCTTTATATAGTTTAACGGACCTCTTGTCAATTTAAATGTTATTTAAATGTTAAAAAGTAACTCAGTCCTGAACCTGTGGTTTATGAATCCGTGTTGAATTGTTATCCTAGAGATCGAGATTTTTGTAAAAAAAATCTAAATTTTAGATCCCTATATGTATAACATTTTTTAGAATTCTGAGTTTTTTAAAATTTCGGCTTTTCGACTTCTAAATTTCAGAATTTTTCGTTAGTTCAGTGTTGGGACTTTTCACTTTGTCGATTCTTCAATTTTTGAGATTTCTAATTTTCGATTTCTCAGTTTCTTGATTAATAGCTTTTTCACTTCTTCAATTTCTCAATTTTCAATTTTTCGACACACTTATTTCGATTCTTCAATTTCTCAATTTCTACACTTCTCGATTTTTCAGTTTTTAGATTTCTCGATATTCGACCTTTCGGCTTTTTGATTTTTTAAATTTTCCATGTTCGAATTTTGATTTCGTTTTTCGTCATTCGAGTTTTGGAATTTTTCAGTTTCTCAATTTCTCTGTTTTTCGATTCTTCAGTTTTTCGATTTTACGATTTTTTGATTTGATTTCTTGACATCTTTCTGTTTTTCGGTTAATCGATTTTTTTTTAATTTTAAATTTCTCAGTTTTCCAATTTTAACTTTTCGATTTTGGGCTACTTCGATTTCTCAATTTTTCGAGATCTCGACTTTTTCATTTTTCGATCTTTTGATGTTTCAATTTTACAATTTTTCAATATTTCGACTTTTCAATTTTCCAATTTTTTGTCATTACAGTTTTGGAATTTTTCAAATTGTTAATTTCTCAGTTTCTCGATTTATCGATGTTTTAATTTTTCGATATTTTGATTTTTGAATTTTTCGACTTAAATAAACTTCGACTAGTTTTTTCATTTAATGGTTAGAAAAACAATAAAAGTGGTGAATGGCCGAAACTCACTATGGAAATCTTTTGCAACTTATGTGCCATTGCTGAACAAGAATAACAATCAAATGAAAAATTAGCATGCTTACTTGAAACAACGACCTATAAAACATTCAGGGGGATAAAATAAACGAATATTTGTTATTGCTTCAAATTTTTATTAACTTTTATATGAATTTATAATCACACTAATAAATTTACATTTCTCTAATAAAATTAGAAAATTACATTTCTTAATGATGATGAATCGGGTATAATTGGTTGCCCGATAACTTCAACAAAAAAAATGTCTAATTTCTAAGAAACTAAACAATTTTATAAAATACAACTGAAATTGTATTGTTTAAATAAAACTCAGAGTCTGCAACAGGGCCCTTTATTTTGAACTTTAACAAAAATCGTAAATTGTGGACGTGTCTGCAACCAAGAATACACACATGGTACAAAATAAAGGTTCTACAGCAAAACCTCTCTACAACGGACAGGTGTGATGATTCAGAAAGTGTCCGTAATTGAGAAGTGTCCACTGGAGAGAGATTGATAAAAAAATAAATATATTTGTTGTATCCATAAATTGAAAACCTATTTGATGTATGCACATACAGTGAAACCTCCTGTAACGGACACCTCCCAAAAAGCGGTCCCGAAATTAGACCCTACAATAAAAGTTTTTCTTTATTTCAGTTTTGAAATTTTTCAGATTCTCCATTTTTGGTTATTTGATTTTGAAATTTTTTTCAATTTTCTGATGTTTCGATTTCTAGATTTTTCAATTTTTCGAATCGTCAATTTTTCGATATTTTAATTTCTCAATTTTTTAAATTTTAGATTTTTCGAATTTTTAAATTTTTGATTTTTCAGTTTATAAATTATATGACGTTTGGATTTTTCAATTTTTCGATTTTTTCCCGATTTATTGATATCTCGGTTTTTCAGTTTCTTTCATTTTTCGATTTCTTGATTTTTCGACTTTCCGATTTTCTGATTCTCTTTCCCCCTTTTTCGTCATTTCAGTTTTGGAATTTTACAGTTTCTCAGTTTTTGGTTTTTTGAGTTTCCAGTTTTCCGTTTTTCAATTTTTAATTTTTTAAATTTTAGATTTTAAAATTACTGACTTTTTTCAAAATTTCAATCTTTTGATGTGTCGATGCTTCGATTTTACAATTTTTTTTTATCCTATTTCTTGACATACCGGTCTTTCGATTATTTTTAATTTTTCAAGTTTTCAATTATTTGATTTCCAGTTTTCCATTTTCGATTCCTCAATTTTCCGATGTTTCAGTTTAACGATTTTTGAAATTTTTTGATTCTTCAATTCTTCTATTTTAAAATTTTTCAATTTTTGGCGTTTCTAAATTTTCATTTTTTCAATTTGTTAATTTATCGACGATTCGATTTCTCGAATTCTCAATTTTTCAGTTTTCATTTCTTCAATTTTTCTTTGATTTTCCAATTTTAACAAATATGTCAGCTTTGGAATTTTTCAATATTTCTATTCCTCAGTTTTTGAATTTTTCGATTTCTCTCTTTTTCCACTTTTCAATTTTCAGGTTTTAGATTTTTCAATTGATCGATTTTCCAATTTTTTCATTTTAGTTTTCGAATTTTTCAGTTTGTCTATTTTAGATATTTCGATTTTTTTACGTTGAGAATTTTAAATTTTTCGATTTTTCCAATTTTACATTTTCTAAATTTTTCAATTCTTCAATTTTTCGATATTTTAATTTTTCGAATTTTTTAATTTTTGACTTGATTTTTCAATTTTCCATTTTGATTTTTTTCTGTTTCTCGATTTAAATAAACTTCGACCAATTTTATCATTTAATGGTTAGAAAAGCAACATTGAAAAGTGGTGACTGATTTTATACCTATAGATTTACTCATTTAATTCTAACTTGGCCGAAACACAATATGGAAATCTGTTCCAAATTATGTTGCATTGTTGATCAAGAATATTAATAATCAAATGAAAAATGAAGGTATAAAACATTCAGGGGGGTAAAAATGAATCTTTATTATTGCTTCAAATTTTTATTAACTTTTATGTGAATGTATAACACTAATAGTAAATTTACATTGCTCTAAAATTACAATTTTAATGATGGTGAATTGTGTATTATTGGTTGCCTGACAAGTCCAATAAAAAAAAATGTCTAATTTATAAGAAACTAAACAATTTTATAAAATATAACTTAAATTGTATTGTTTAAATAAAAACCAGTGTGTAACGACGCCCTTTATTTTGAGCTTTAATGAAAATCGTAAATTGTGGACGTGTATGCAACCAACAATACACACATGGTACAAAATAAAATTTCTACACACAATCTGCACACTTTCCTTTCTTCCACTTCCAATCAAATAAAACACCCATATATACCATTACATATTTATATATCTTATAACGTCTATAATATACAAATTTGATGATATACTACAGAAAAACGCTTGAATTGGTTAAAAAAAATATATATAAATTTTCTATTTGCTATAAATAATTAGCCTACAACACAGAACACTTAATTTAATAATAAAACTTAACTCGAACACTCGAGATATTACTGCTGGAATCTAAAAAACCTACAAGGCAAATAATGCATTTAAAAAATTTCTCCAACAACTGTATTTACACTTGCAAATCATACTCCAAGTGAAATTTTGAGTGAAAAAAAAAGTAGAGGTTTTTCATATCACATTGAGCAGAAAAAAAATCGCCAAAACCCTCATTATATATATTAATATAATAATAATAAAAATTCAAACCTAACATGCGCAAGAATCTCCATTACTGCTCGGTTTATTCGTGTTGGTGAGTTTGATTTGATCGGGGAATTCGTTATATAGATCGACGGTCGAATTCTGTTGCGCTAGGGCGTTTTTCGCGATCGCCAGGAAAGCCTGCTCGACGTTGAGTCCCTCCTTCGCCGATGTCTCGAAATAAGGTATATTGTTCTTCATCTGGCACCACTGTTGCGCCCTTTTCGACGAGATGGCGCGGGGCTCGAGATCGACTTTATTGCCTAGGAGGACGAAGGGGAAATTCTCGGGCTCGCGGGGCGACGCCTGGATGAGGAATTCGTCACGCCAACTGTCGAGAGACTTGAAGGTGTTGGGGGCGGTCACGTCGAACACTGGAAAAGAATTAGTCGTGAAAGATTTGCGACATTAAAAAAAAGTGACACCAATAATACTAATGACTAAACAGGGGATTCTAGGGCAAAAGATTTAATAAAGAAATATTCTCCTTTAACATCGTGTGATGTTCAGAGATCCTTCTCTAGGTATAAAAATGTTCTAGCAGACAAAAGAAAAAATGTTTCGACCAAAAATTTTGAAAAATATCGAATTTGTCATGCAAGTTTTAACGAAGATTAAGATTATGTAAAATAATAAAATAAATGTAGATCTCAAAGAAAACCAGACATTGCGTAAAATTTCTTTTTCCTAAAACTTCCCCTATTTTGGCGCTTTTTTTTTAAACCTAAAATCAGTTCTTTCCTATTGATATTAACAATGAGTCACTTCGAACGCTCAAACACATGTGAAATCATCTATTGATCCTGTGACATTTGCTATCGCCCAGATAACAAAATTTAACAAAGGAAAATGATCACATCCTTAATTATGGAACTAAATGAGAACTATCTTTTGCGGCCTTCTTGTTTTTTAGAATTCATAATTAATGTACGAACATGAATCTCACAACCTTGTAGAATTTCATTTTATAAAACATATTTACATATAAATATTTCAATTACCACGTATTTTATCGCACTAAACTGAACTTTTCCTTTTTAGGCCAATTCAAGTTGTTTTGCTCAGTTGATTATAATTATTACAAAAATCAAATAATCAAACAATTGATTGTTGATGAATGCTCCAATTGTAACAAAGCATTCACAAAATATTAGTCACTTCTATTTCTAAATTCCTGGAAATAATTAAACGATTAATTCGTCTATACACAAACGATTTTTGATTCATGAACAATCCAATGTTGCTAAAACTTAAAACAACTTTTCTTATATCTATTTTTTTGTTCGATCATAATACGTACTTGGAATTTCCAAGGTATACGTGTACATTCTTCACTACTTATATTAAGTAACGTCATATATTCTGTTCTAGTTTGTCGTGATGAGATGATTTCATTTGAATATTATTTCACATAAATTACAAAATTCTACTCCAATGAAAGTTAAGCAATCATTAATAAAACACAATTTTGTCCCCGTTTCCCTTTGTCTATCTGCCGTCTGTCCCGATTTTTATTAGACAGATAATCTCTGAAACTATTGATGATGTCATCTGTCAATTTTGTTGAAGAAATGTTATTTAGATGTTAAACAGTAACATAGTCCTGAACTTGTAGTTTATGAATCCGTGTTGAGTTTTCATCTTAAGATATTGATATTTTTGGAAAAAAAATCAAAATTGTAGAAATATAACAATTTTTGATTTCCGGCTTTTCCATTTTTCCCGATTTCCCGATTTATCGATATTTCAGTCTTGGAATTTTTCAGTTGTTTTATTCTTCAATTTTTCGATTTCTCAATTTTTTTGTTTGTCGATTTTAATTTTTTTGATATCTTTCTCGATTCTTCAAATTTCCAATTTTTCGATTCTTCAATTTCTCAATTCTTCAAATTTTCCATTTTCCGATTTTTTCATTTTTCAATTTTTCAGTTCTTTAATTTCTGATTCTTCAATTTTTCGTTGTTTGGATATTTTAATTTTTCAATTCAATTTTTCTATTTCTCGAGTTTCAATTTTTCGATACTCAGTGTTGGGATTTCTCAATTTCTCGGTTCTTCAAATATGCAATTTCTAGAGTTTTTCATTTTTCGATTTCTCAATTTTCCGATCTTTCAATTTAACAATTTTTCAATTTTCCAATTTTTCGATTTTTTATTTTTTTTATTTGTAACAATTTTTCGATTCTTTAATTTCTCAATTTTTTGTTGTTTCGTTTTCTATATCTTCAAACTTCTCGGTTTTAGATTTTTACTTCCCGAGCGTAAGCAAAGGAAGTATTGTAATCGAGTCCGTCGGCCGACTCTCTACTTTTACGTTTTCTCGATCTTTCATGACCCCTAGAAAACGAAGAAATAGGTCTCCCATTTCCGTCTGTCTGTCCGTCTGTCCGTCCGTCTGTCCGTCCGTCTGTCCGTCCGTCTGTCCGTCCGTCTGTCCGTCTGCCGTCCCGGATTTTATTAGACAGATAATCTCCGAAAGTACTCGACCGATTGTTGTGAAATTTTGTACTTATATTAAGAATATCATGTAGATGGTAAAACGCTAACCAAAATTTGTCTAATCATCCCCACCACTAATGCGATGACGTCACTTCAAAATTGTACATAGTAAATGGGTCTTAAATTGTATAAAATAACATAGTCCTACACATGTAGTTTACAACTCTGAATCGACTTTTCACCCGAAACGTCCAGATTTTTGGAAAAAAAATCAAAATTATAAAACAACATTTTGAAATTTAATTTTTAATCTGCTAACCAGAATGCTTTGAAATGTTGCAGATGTTTTAAGGCTATAAAGAGCATCATAAATCTTTAGTCAAAAAATATTTGCTTATCCCCTCCAAAAACTTGATGACGTCAGCTCAAAAGTTTGTGGAATAAATCATATCTAAAATGTACAAAATATGATGAGCCTGTACTTGTCATCTATCACTCCATTCATATTTTTTGGATTTGCATATACAGGGTGATTCAAGAAAATAAATGAAAGCGTAAATTTATTTTACTGATTTACTCAGGAACTACAAAACCGAATGCTTCGAAATCTTGAAGATATTTTAAAATTATCATAAGCATGGTAAATTTTTGATAAAACGTATTTGGTCGTCCCCCCTAAAAAATTTATGACGTCACCACAAAATTTTGCTGAATAAATCCTATCTAAAATGTACAAAATATGGTGAGTCTCTTCTTGTGATTTATCATTCCATTCAAATTTTTTCGATTTGCATATACAGGGTGACTCAAAAAAATTAATGAATGCGTAAATTTATTTTATTGATTTAATCAGGAACTACAAAACCGAATGCTTTGGAATCTTGCAGATGTTTTAAGGTTATAAAGAGCATAATAAATTTTTAGTCAAAATATATTTGGTTATCTTCTACAAAAAACTGATGACGTCAGCTCAAAAGTTTGCCGAATAAATCGTATCTAAAATGTACAAAATATGATGAGTCTGTACTTGTGATTTATCATTCCATTCATATTTTTGGATTTGCATATGCAGGGTGACTCAAAAAAATTAATGAAGGCGTGAATTTATTTTATCGATTTAATCAGGAATTACAAAACCGAATGCTTTGAAATCTTGGGAATATTTTAAAGTTATTGTAAGCATGGTAAACTTTTGTTCAAAATGTATTTGTTCATCCCTCCTAAAAAAATTGATGACGTCACCCTTAAATTTTGCTGAATAAATCCTATCTAAAATGCAAAAAATATGATGAGTTTGTACTTGTGATTTATCATTCCATTCATATTTTTTAGATTTTCTTAAGAGGTGGTTCAAAAAAATTAATGAAGTCAATTTATTTTATTGATTAAATTAAAGGCAACACTTATTATTAGTATTACACCCCAACCAACCCAATTTGGTAGACACAAAATTTGTTAAAGGAAAAACTCGGTTGAAACATAAGGGTAGCATGCTTATTTACATCGACTTGAACATTACAGACCTGCATTTGTTTTATGCGCTCACTTGGTTCCGCGAATGTGAAATAGACATGTTTATAATCAACCAATTGTGAATTTCACCGTCAAGAATTAAAATAAAACCCAATGTTTTATATAATAAGCGGAAGTCGAAGCAATAAAACCGATGGTCGTTTTGTTTACAGTTTCTCTGTTTGACTCTCACGTATGCTGTTACGCCTGTCATCTTAAATTAAGAATGTTTATACATACACGATTTTCAGTTGCCTCTGATACGTAGGTATACGTGAGTAAATTGTTTCGTTATTTTATTGATTATTACAAATCAATATTCAAAACGACCCAATTCATTTTCCCGAAAATTTGAGAATATAATAATTTTATTCTTAATATTACACTACATCTATCCCAACTGATATACGTGTCCTTGCAAAAATGTTGATGACGTCATCGCAATTTTTTTTTAAATTCCCACTACAAAAATGTAATGAGAAAAAAAACACAATAGGCATGCAGTCGTCAAGTTTCCGACAGCGAGGGAAGTACTGTCTAAACTCTTTAGACCAATTTTTAAATTTTTCGATGTTCCGATTTTTCAACATTTTAAATTTTTCGATTTCTTCAATTTTTCCATTTTTTGATGTCTCGATTTCTCGATATTTTAATTTTTCAATTTTTTAAATTTGAAATTTTTTAATTTATTCATTTATTGTTTTTTCAGTTCTTCAATATCCCAACTTTTTTTTGACATTTCGATTCTCGATTTTTTAATGTTTCGATTCTTCAATTTAACAATTTTTCAATTTTTGACGTTTCTAAATTTTCGATTTGTCGATTATTCAATTTCTCGATTTTCCAAATTTCCATTTCTTGATTTTTTAATTTTCCGACTTCTCAATTTTCCAATTCATTAATTTTTTATTCTTCAATTATTCTTCGATTTTTCAATTTTTCTATATTTCAGTTTTCTATTCTTCGTCAACTCAGTGTAGGGATTTTTCAATTTCTCGATTCTTCAAATTTCCAATGTCTCGATTTTTTCATTTTTCGATATTTCAATTTTGGAATTTTTCAATTTTTCGATTTCCCAATTTTTCAATTCTTCAATTTTTCGACTTCTCGACTTTTCGATTTTCCAACTTCTCGATGTTATGATTTTTCAATTTTTCTTTTTTCCAATTTTTGGTAATTTCGGTTTTGGAATTTTTCGATTTGCCGATTCAATTTTCCGATTTTTCATTTTTTTTATTTTAATCAATTTCTCGATTCATTAATTTCTCAATTTTTCGTTGTTTGGTTCTCTCGATCTTCTGACTTCTCGGTTTTAATTTTTCAATTTTTCGATTTCTCGATTTATGGATTTCGATTTCTCGGTTGTTTAATCTCTCGACTTTTCAATTATTTTTTTTCGATTTCTTAGTTTTTCGATTTTCCAA